GACCGGTTTCAAAGAAGTCGGTCAACGTAGCTGATGAAGGGCACTTGAAGAAAAAACTAGTTACAAAAAAGTAGCACGAACGAGTTGATAAATCCATAGGGGCAACAATGTCGAACATTATTAATTCTTGATCCGGATTATCGAGTTGCCTCCCAGAAGACTGTTTTCTTATGATGCTCAACAAATACTATAGTACTTTGATAGTATGTAAGAAATGGTCTGATAAGATAACGGATCAAATGAGCTCATATATTCACATATTCGAAGAATGAAATGTGGAAAAAAAAAAAAAAAAATGAAAAAAAATCAGAGAAAAAATATATTAAATCGATAACAGAATATAAATAAATTTTTAATATAGATAAATATTTCAAACAATTTCTATTCTCTTAAGAAAAAAAGAAAAAAATTATATAATAAAATAAATAAAATAAAAAAAAAACTAAAAAAGCAGATACTCGATTATGAATAAATTTCAATTAATGAGGATAGATAAAAAGTTGAAAAAAATCATAATAAAATTTAATATATTTAATAAATCATAAAAAATGTATATATATATATATTAAAGAAAAATTCAACTGTTTAGATAATTAATTAATCATCAGTTATTAGTTATTTTAACAAAAAAATAAGTTAATATTGTTTTTCTATACGACAATAAATTTTTAAAGCTATATTTCCAAATAAAAAATTCTATAGATGAAATCGAAAAGTATTTAAATACAATCATATAAATAATATATAATTATATTCGCATATTAATATTTTATTTAATTACATTTTTAAAATGTTGTAAATGAATTTAAAAAATATTCATGTATATTTATATGTATGCATATAATTGTAATTGCTTAAATAACGTTTCTAAAATCGTTTTGTAATAAAAAACATGTACAGCTATTTAATAAAATTAATAAACGCACATAATTTTACATGACAAGAATTTGAAAGAGTACAAAATTGAGAATCACTTATTAATATTCGTTTGTCTACTATTAGCTATAATATTTTAAAACACCAAAATTTGAAATATAAACAATACTATAAAAAAAATTCATAAGAATTTTATTGTAAAAATTATAGAATTATTTTTTATTACGAAAGAATCAAATTCTATATATAGAAATGTATTAATATATAATAATAATTAATAAATCTCTTACATCAATTGCAAAAAAATTTTTTAAATTATTTTTTGTTTGTACTTTCTCTATCTTTCACATTTATGCTACCAGCAATTCCGTTTGTTTTTTGTTCGATAAACAGCATGATTCATAAGTCATTTTTCTTTATCTCTTACCTCATCGTTCATGTAATCGTCATTACACTAACCAACAAAGAAATACAGCATTCATTGCATATAACCAGAAGACAATAGCATTGAAAAAAATGTCATTAATAATAAATCAGTAGCTGATCGTGAAATAAATATCGAAAAAAAAAATATATACCAAAAAAGAACCAAACATGATGCGCACTTTTTTCTGGTTACGTCACTTATCGTTGGCGGGCATCTCGTTGCGGTGAATCAGCGAACTAAAATTTGTTCTTTTTCTATTTTACTATATCTTTTTGTATATTGTATTAATATAAAAAATGATTCACTAGTCAAGTTCGCGGTTTATTAAATATATATAAATTATTTTTAATTTTAGAGAAAATGATATTAAATTTTAAAAAAAAAATTTTTTTTATATTCTGTAATTATTATAGTTATATTTAAAAATAATGGTTCCGATAAGATTATAATTTTTCCGATAAGATGATAATTTTGCTATTGTTGTACATATCAAAGATAAAAATAAAACTATCGTGATATAATATGTAAATAATTATATACATATATATTATTAAATATATTTGTTATTTTATTAATTTATTAAATTAATTTTTCTCAATTATTGCTTTTGCAATGTCAATGAAGTATTAAATATCGATAAAAATTGTTATTTATTAATTATTAATCTTCGATAATGAAAATAAATCATAATTTATTATCAATAAACGAATATTGATTCCTAATATATATAAATATATAATATATATTTAATACATATTAAATACATTTATTAATCAAATACTTTAAAATATTTAAATAATTAAAAAAAAAGATCTACATGATAATATTCATAGTAATATATATTCATAGTAATACAAAAATAAAATTTATTCTAATCATAAATTTAAATTAGAATAGATATATTATTTTTTTTATAAAAAATATATGTATTATACGGTAAACGGACGATTTCTATTTATCTTTTACTTCTTCCGGAATGGAACTTTCGCGCGTATTTGTCCGGATTCCTAGATAGAACCGTTCAGAAAGCGCGGCACGTAGATATACATACATATACTTTTCGAACGTGAAACAAATTTAGGTTAAGGCCTGATCACAATTGTACGGTCGACTGATTCTTCGATTAATAAATAAAATTCACTCAAAACTGGATAAACACGCCTTTTTATCATACAAAAAAACAAATTCTAAAAAATTCTATCATAAATATTTTTAGCATTTATAAATTTGTAAATATATTTTTTGGTTAAAAAAAAAAACCAAAAAATTAGAATTAATGTGGCTAACTAATAATTATAATTAAATATATTGTGTAATAATATATTTATTATATGCAATACACGAAAAGATGCTATTCATAACCTTAAAAAATTTCATGATATCTCACCTTTATGATTTTATATTTTTTTTTGGTGGCTTGATTTAAGTCCTCGTGCACTTTATCTAATAGCCATAACAAGAATTCCTGAGCGTCGTGCTGCAAGTTCCCGCGATACTGACTTCCGTATTTGTCGACGACGCTTTTGAACGCTGTGCTCATTTCTGGATCGTATTGACAACTCCAGATAGCCTTTAATAAAAGAGCCAACTGTTCTGTGATCTCTCCTTTTGTTCCATATTTTTTAGAGTTTAGTTTATTTCTTCTGGATAAATCGACCTTGTATTGGTCCAGCACGAAATATTCTGCAAGTATGTCCGTATGCGATAAGCATTGCAATACAGCGTTCATAAAACACGTGTTACCGTGATTGCGTAAACCTATGACCCCTGGCACTCTATCAGGCGGTATATGTGCCGGTCGAGGCGGAGGTACCCTTATGTCTCCAGCACTAGAACTAAGATCGTCCCTATGAGAAGTTTTATGATTCTGTGTGCCCACGTTCGACATGTGTTGGACCATTTTGTTGATAAACTTTTTCCAAGAAGGTCTACGGAACACTTTTTTTACACCAGGCCTTTCTGGATAACTTTGGCTGCCATGTAATCGACTCATATTTTGTTGTATGCTTTCCACTTGCTGCTGATGTTGCTGCATATTGTTTCTGTCTTTAGTACTCGTTGCACTGCTACTGTCTTTTGAATCACGATTTTGTTTCGGACGTCGTCTTAACATCCTGCTGGCACTTTGAAACGGATTCCTCGGCAAAGTAAACGTACGTTTCAAACGCGGGATAGAATTCTGTATTTTCGATTCTGATAATTTAACCTCTTCCACGCCCAGCTCACCCTCCGACACCGATTTCATCACCGCACTAGCATTTTCACCGTTCATCGCCGGCCACGGAAACACCGTTCAATTTTTCACTTGTCGTTCACATCACGCTTTTTGTCAAATGATCAACTCACGCGTCTTTACATACCGTACGTCAGGAACTGTTCGCGGAAAAACATCATATGCGTAACCCGCTCTTATACACTACGGCGGCCATTTGCCTTTATCACAGACTTCCACGATTTCATGATGCTTCGATCATAGACTACATAAAATGGCTGACGATGATGCCAATGTCACTGTGATTGATATGCCCTCTATGAAGATTGATGAGTAATATATTTAATAGTAATATTAGAATATTTTTTTATTGATGAATTATAATATGGCAGAAATATCATATAAATATAATATGTTATAAATATTTATATTATTATATTATTATATCTTATAATATTAGATTTTTTCCATATTTTAAAATATACGTGATGTATTATAAAATATATCATTAATGGAATTTTGTATTCCATGTTCTGAAATATCGATGGTGCTGTTTGGCATGCCCTCTACAATTTAGAGCGGTAACTGCAAGAATTACATTCAATTTAATCATAAAAGTCGGTAAAGTCAACAGATTTTAAAAATGATTTCTTTGACCGTTCATTATCAAATATTCTCATATATTATATATTATTTGAATTGAAATATATTTATAATTCTTTCGATTGCTACAAATAATAGACAGATTTATATAAGTTATAAGTCATAAGTTGAATTAAAAATTAGATTCATATTTTTTATTAGAATACAATGATAATAATATCAATTTATAAGATATTTTTTCATAAAAATGAATTTAAATATAGTACTAAACTTAAATTTATTTATATATTATTATTATATAATTGTTTATATTAATATTTATATAATATTATATAAATATATATAATACAGATAATAAAATATTGATGATTTAATATTTTTTATATTAAATCATTCTAATACTTAATCAGTAATTAATAATAAAAATTTATAATATATTTTAAAATTTATAATATAAAAATTCAAGTAAAACTCATTTAATCTAATATTGATAAAAATTTCATTCCAATAAATTTTATTATAATCTAATTTAGATTTAATTTTAATTTTTTAATTTAAGATATATAAATTCAGGGAGAATATATAAGTATAAATTAAATATATTTATACAACAGAAAATATTATTGAGAATACAATAAGTAAATTAATCGAAGTATGAAAAATAAAATAAAAAATCAAAATATATATTTATATTATCTATTTAAATTTCTATTTTTAAACTTATATAGTATCCACTGTGATTATTATATTTTTAAAATTATTTTTAAATTTTAAATAAATTTTTTAATTTGTTATCTAAGTTTATCGATGTGATTCATATACCGACAGTATCCCGTTTATCTGATGAGTTCTTACTTCTGCCATAATTGTTGTTCGGACATCTAAATTATATTCTTGTGATTTCATAGTTTTAATAGTTTTTGTGCGCGAATTATTAAGACTATAACAATTACGATTTACAAATTTTTTTTAACTCGAGAAAAAAAAGATTAATAAATCATAATAATTAAATCTTATTTCAAAGTTTAAAATATACGTATTTTATTCACATGTGTTATTATGTTTCATCATGATGATGAACAGATGAGAAGCTATGAAATACGTGTGCTACAGTATTATCTACGAATGATGAATCTCATATTATCAGTTTCTTCAATTCTTATCATAAGATAAAAGCACAATTGGTTGTAAGTTTTAAATGTACAGCGAATATAGTAATCACAAGTGTTCTAGTACACGTGTACACTAACGTTATTTTGTGGCTTATTTCGTACATAAATTATTCATTTGTGCCACGTTTGTGGTTAAACATCTACGATAACGTGACATATCGCCATTTTGAGATCTAAAATTTATACAATAACAGGTAGGTCTGCCTTGTTATTTCATTCTGTTTTTTCATCCGAAACTTTTTTATAAGAATGCTTTGCCATCTACTTTCATCATTGCATGAAAAGCTGATACAACAACGGCCGGTATTATCTTGTTTACAAACACATAAGCATGCCATGATATCTATAGATGTATTTATTCCCTGAATCTTTTTTTATATATATTAAAAAAATACTTTGGACATTTTTTAAATTAATATATAATATTTTATATTATTATTATAATAATACTACATTTGTATGGAATAATTTGTTATTTTATAATGCTTTATGTTTCAATCAACACGCTGTATAGTGGTGCCTTTCGTAGAACAAATGGAAACTATTATGAACATCTTATAATTCTTATAAATCGATAGTGCAGATCAATTAAAAATTTTCATTTCGACAATCTAGTTAATAATTTCAAATAATTATTAAATAAAAATTTCACCAACTTTCTCTTAATTAAAAACAATCTAAATGAATAATTCAAATTATCTAAATATAAAGATAATAATTATACAAATTAGTTTAAAAAAATAAATATACCAAGACATTAATTAATTGATTCTTATACGAAATATCAAAATTTAATGAAACTTCTAATTTTTATTCTCATAGATACAAAATATAAATATATAAATAAACATCATACATATTGTAATGTTACATAATATAAAACATACGAAGCAAATTGACAATGGTGTGCTTTAAATTTATCATTTAACTTGCGGCGTAGTAATATATTATTCATCGATTGAACACTCAAATCGAATACTTAGAGCGACTGTATCTTTCGAGATTTCTTCGATTGTTGATGCTACACCATATCGAATTAAGAAACCGTTAAAATTAGGTAAATGAAATAATTTGAATAATTTGTTTTAATATTTTAATGGAAAATTATTTTATAAATAATTATTTGTAGCATATTAATCAAAATTTTTATAAGACGAATAAGTTTTTTGAGTGTATATCATACATTATTAATTATGTATATATTTCATAATAAATTTACAGAATAATATAAAATTACGTAATGTCAGATATTAAAATCATTTCAATATTCTATCAATTATTTTTAACGAAAATAATATTTATAGATCTATAGATTTGTTAAATAAAATAATTAAATTTATAATTAATTTAATTATTTTAAACTATAAGTTATATTAAATTTCAAATTAGAATTTGAAATAGAATTTATGAACCGAAATGACAGTCTCGAATACAGTTTTATTATTACAGTAATATTTATTTAGCTGTGGCTTTTGTTGTTTTGTTATGTATTTTTATAGTTATTCAGGTAAATATTAAATTGTTTTTCAACTTCTCGATTATGTTTTTTACTTCTGAATGAAAAAATTAAAAGTTTTTTGAAAAATAAAATATTTCTCATAGTTACAATGCTTGTTGATTATATGACTTACATTGAGAAAATCTTTTATGAATTTGTTTCAAGAAATGCCAGATAATGAAAAATGCACTATAAATCCGGAAGAACGAGTTCCCATTTTACAACCAAATGAAAAACTCTTAAAGAGACTGGATATTTTAGCTGATCATTTTCAATCAACATACAATATCAAACCTTTGTTTTTTGTAAGAGTTCCGGGAAGGTAATTTTTATTATATTTATTCTTATATTTATATTTATTCTTATATTAATATAACAATAATTTATAATAATGATTAATTCTTTATATTATATCAAGATAAAATAAAATCTATTGTAGATATATTATATTGTAAATAATTTATAAAAGGACAATGTTTTCAATATTGTTAAACTTCCATTTCGAGTAATTGCGGTTATTTTAATCAACTGTTCGCAGAGTTAATTTAATTGGTGAGCACATCGATTATTGCGGATATGCTGTTTGTCCAATGGCTATTGAACAAGATATACTTATTGCTGTAGCACTCTCAAACGACAACGTCATTCATCTTACTAATTTAGATTCAAAATACAAAAATTTCCACTGTAATTTCAAAGACATTAGGTAAGTAAAAAAATAATTATGAACTTAAAAAGAAAATAAAAAAAGAAACCAATTAAAAAGATTATTTATTTATATATATTATAATAATAATAAAACGTTTTAAAGCTTTATTTTATTTTATGTTTTTAATATAATATGATATAAATTTCTTATTCTCATTTTTTGCAATTAAATAACTGTAATTTAATGCAAGATAGTTACTTTAAAGTATAACAAGAAATATTGCATTCAATTACGAAGTACAAACTTAATATAAGTATATCCTAAACTTTCAAGAGTGTGAATAATCAGAGTATTGTGCTACATCCCACTTCTAGAAATACGATTTAAGTTCAAGTTACAAATTGAAATTTTTTCGCTGAATTTTCTATTTAATGTGCATACATAAAGATTGCACAATTTTACATAAGTAAATTTAAATTGCTATATATATATATATATATGTATGTAAGTATTATAGAACATGGAATATTTCTCATAAAATTTCATTTCAATCTAACTTAATGATTTAATCAATTTTAATTATTATCTATATTGATATTTTAATACATAGAAATAATATTTTTTTTTATAGGATAAAATAAGTTTTAATGTAATTAAAATATGTTTTGAAATCAAATTAAAATTGTTACATCTGTATATTTATTGTATTATTACTTGGATGTAATATTATAATATAATATTATAATATAATATTCTGTACAATATGCAATTTCATCGTAAAAAATTTCCGCGATGCATTTTTCGCGAAGACAAAAATAAATGGTATTCTGTCTGACGTGAAACTAATTTGCCAGAAAAGTATCGTGACACTGTTGGATGTGGTCGTGTCAGATTAAAGGAAGCAGCAATAAAATGAAAAGTCAGATGATAAAACTGGCCATGTAATTTTATTACGGTCATCGAGTTTAGCCGTCAACGATTGAAAATTCCTGTTATCATTGAAAAATTTAATGGATAATAATAACTATTATGTTTATGAAACGATTCTTCGATCATTGACTAATCCATGGAATCTATTTAATTTTCATAAATTATGAAATTTCTCTCAAATTGATTTGGTAAAATGTCACATATCATTATTAAATAATGAAGGAAAAATAATGAATGATATGGAAATATATTTGCAAATATTGAAAAAAAAAATATTTAAAACAATTCTACATAAGAAACATGGTTGAAAAAGAGAACAATAGCTTCTGAAGCTATATATATATTATGTAAGAATTGTTACCAGTTATGATGCTGATTCTTTATGTTACAGAAAATATAAGACATAATTTGAGCAAATAGAAGTCTTTGTAACTTATCAGAGATGGATTTCTTTGTAGATGAAGTAATTGTATTCTTCAAGAATATCTAAGTTCTCATGAGTTCTATAAAAGTACAATTTTCTTAATAACAATGGTTACAATTTATTTTATAATATATGAAAATTACTATAAAGTTATGTTTTTTATATTAAATTAAATTAAAAAAATTTATAAATTAAAAATTCAAAAAACTTGTTTCGTATATTAAGTAATATTATTATTTAATCTTTATTAATTTTCATTATTGATGTAATAATATATTTAACTTATTAACATATCTAACTTTAGTCATATAAATTTTAAATTTAATAAAATTTAGAGAAAAAAAGCAAGAGAACGATTCGCTGCAATCTCTGATTAATCTTTTCGTGTTGATGTCGAGTACCAGGAGTAGTTTTCGCATATAATAACCTCGCTCCTCTCAACGAAAGAAGAAAAATGAACTTCATCGTAATGCAAATAAAAAGGAGATAATGCTAGAAGGAAAAATATCATGTTTACCATTGGGTATTTCATTGGTCTTTTTATTTTCGTGCAACAAAAAAAATATATGTGCAAAAATCCGTAAAATTTGCAAACATTGTTCTAAAAAAATCTTTAAAATAAAATCCATGCCGGATTACATGCAAATATAGGTAGCATAAAAGAAATAGCAAAAATAATGGAAAAATATCTTGCAGTAACAGGGAATTAAAGAAATAAAAATAATATAGCTAACATGAAATATTATTAAAAAAATGAAACATAAAATATATTTCACTATCTTTTTTTATAAATTTTTTAATATTTAATTAATAAAAAAAATTTTCCATGTTTTATATTTTACAATCTTTTTTGTTGTTTGCTGTTATTTTGTTATTCCTAAAAATGGAAGTAGATAAAATTATAATATAATTGCAAAAAAAACAAATTTAATGTTTTTCTACATAGTGTTTGTATCGGAGACGTCGACAGCGGTCCAGATTGGTACAAATATTTTCTCTGCGGTGTGAAAGGAGCTCTTGAAGTGATCCCAGAGGAATGTGTACCTTCAGGAATTTTGGCTGCAGTTTGGGGTAACATTCCTCCTAATTCAGGACTCTCGAGCTCTAGCGCGTTAGTTTCTGCCGCTGTCCTTTTGATCGTGCATGCTAGTCAGGTAAATATTCTTTTCAAATATTCAAATTTGCTATATTTTTATTCATTATTAGAGAATTTTTATTCATTATTACAGAAATTATTTTATCTAATTATTTTATATAATTATATAAATTATATAATTATATTATATAAAAATATAAAGAATTATTTAAGACAATATTTAAAAAATTAATAGATTATTGGAATATGTTTAACTCATATAAATTGAAATAAATTCCATTGAAATTTTGCAGAGAACATATAAGAAAGTTTCGAAATGAAAAAGAAATAGTAGAAGAAAATTTTTGAGAAATATATTTTTCAGGATGAAGATATATCTTCAAGTTTATTCCATCGAACAAGTCTAGTATTTCTTGCGGGCAAAAAATTTTTAACAATAAATAAAATATACCAGAGATTATATATTATTTTTTAAAAATTTTTATCCAAACAAGTTTATTTAAACTATTTTAAAATCGAATTATAACATATTTGCTTAACATTATACATTAATATTAAATCAAATATTTCAAAAACTTTGAAATATTTCTATAGTATATTATTATTAAAGTCAATCAATAAAGTATTATCATTATTTTTTATCATAGTAAAAAATAACAGAAGAAGAAACGAGGAATATTTGACGAACAAATGAGGAATATTGAGTTTACACCGAGTTTACTTCGAAGCCGAGTATTTTGCAAAGCTATGTGATTAACAAGCTGCACGAGGTATCAGTATCATGTACTGGATATAGCTGTTTCATTATGATTAAATCACACATACATATATGTCAATACATATCTCGACGCATTGTTGCGGACAGTTCCGTTTGTAGAGAAATAATGGAAAAAGAGATCTCGAACCGCCTTTGCTCCGGAGATAAGTAAAATCTCATCGTTCTTTTCCCTCGTCGCCACGATAGAGCATCATTCCTTCTCCTTCCTCTTCTTCCATTTTACCCTTTTATTTTCCTCTCTTTTTCTATCTCAAGGTTGCAAGATCGATGAGAAAAGTTCCTTAGTCCCTAATGTCTCTTTCAACGAAGTCACGATCTCGTGGCGCTTGCTAGTCTTCAAGATTATGCGTCGAATATCTTCGAATGAAATGTCCCAAGAATTTCTTATATTTTCTTGTTCATTACCCGTTCTTCCACCCCCACGATCGCATAAAATATGTTTATGATTGCTCTACATATGACTATTGAAACTTTATGCTATAAAATTGATTCCATATCATCATATACACCATTTCATAATAATATGATATACATTGGTATGCAATATTGCGAATTATATTGGTGAATAAGAATTTGGTCAGTAGAATAAATTACCAGTTGATAATAGATAAGAGAAATCAAATGTAGTTCGATATAATAAAAGTATTATATTACATATATTGATCATACCGAAAAAATTCAGAAAAATTATTTGTTTAAGATAGACTTAAGAAGTTCATTTGATAAAAAAATTTTGTTTTTTTTTCAAACGTTCGAAAATTGAAAGATTATCAATATTCCAAGATCTTCGACTCATTCCTTGTTTCGTGAAATTGAAATAATAAAAATTTATTCAAAACTAAATTTATAACTCTTCATATCAAAATAAATTATTAAAAATAAAGTGATTCCTATTTTTTTTTTATTTTAACATTTTTTAATTGTTGAAATTTAACTTAAAGATTACTATTAACTTAAAAATACCAGTAAGTTATATATTTAGCAATTTATCATGCAAATTTCAATTTGTAAAAATGGAATAAATTTGCTTTTCTAGATGACATATTCCTAGATCTTCTTTCTAGTATAATTATTGAGTTCTCTTAGAATAAATATTTTCAAAGCTGAAAGATATTTACTATAATGGCTGTAAATTACAAAAAAAATTACAAAAAAAATATAGATATTGCAATAAGAAAAATATTTGACAATGAAATTTAGATTGAACTCGAATTTCTAATCAATAAAATCGTTTCTGTTATAGTATCAACTATCGAAACGTGAATTGGCTACCATCAGTGCTAACGCTGAAAGATATATTGGTACCCAAGGTGGTGGAATGGATCAAGCAATCGCGTTCCTTGGAAAAGCAGGTAATTCTTCATTTCTAAAAGGAACAATTATTAGTTTAATCATATTATATAATCTACAAATACGAATATGTTTATGGTGATGCTCGTTAATACTCTTAATGAAGGTTCTGCAATGCTAATCGAATTCAATCCCTTGCGTGGTACCGATGTCATGTTACCGGAAACCGCAGTATTCGTAATAGCGCACAGCCAAGCTTGTCATAACAAAGCTTCCACAACAGATTATAATTTAAGAGTTGCAGAATGTCGCTTAGCTGCACAGGTAATTCTTTATAATTATGAATTTGAATTTATTTATTGAATTATTTACTTGCTAAAGTAATTTGTATTTTATATGAATATAAATATTTACAATAAACTGAATAATTAAATTGAGATAAATTATTATTTGCGAATTAAATATAGAAAATGAATAATGTTTGATGTTAAAATATAATAAGATGAAAGAGGAAAAAGGAATTAGAAGCAGATTTGAAAATGATTTATTTATTTGTTGGTTTCAAACAACATGAACATTTGAATATTTATTCAATATATCTTCAAAGAGATTAATGAGATTTTTTTTATTATATTTTATGATTATTAAATAACTTTTTATATTGCTCATATAGATAGAAATTAATAAAATTCTTGTTTTTAAGCATTTTTCAATGCTTTTTTGTAATTTTATTTTTAAAAAATTAATTCATAATTTTTTAATACTTTTTAAACTATGACTTTTTTCTAAGATTAATTCATTTATTCATAGATGATAGCAAAGAAAAGAAACAAACCTTGGGAACATGTACAAAGACTAATCGATATTCAAGAGAGTCTTAATATGAGCTTAGACGAAATGGTTTCAGTTATAACAACCGACCTTCACGAAGAACCATATACCCTAAGTGAGGTATGCAGTTAACGTAACATGCAATTGATGTATAATATCAAATAATTGTTCGAATATTATTATTGAAAAAAAATATTCATTGTTGAAAAAAAAGTATTATAGATATAAGATATTATGTCAATTGATTTTTGTTTATCCATGATTTTATCCATGATAAGACTTAATTCATTATCAGTAGCCATACACGTATTTTTTTCAGATTAGCAAGAACCTTGATATAACGAATGAGAAACTTCGTGAAATATCATTATTACAAACTTTTAGCAATGCGCAAATTTTCAAATTAAAACAACGTGCTCTCCATGTGTATCAAGGTAATAATAATTTATGAAAACATTGAAACACAAAGCGCATAAATTATTTTTTTCTTATATCTCTAACAAACTTTCCATACATTGATTCTCAGAAAAATTTTTAATAAAATTTATTTACATTGTTATTTTTTTCTGAAATGTTCTGAATCATATTTCCAACAGAATAATTTATTTATACAAATTTTATCATCATACTAATATCAAAGAAATTTGATATTGTACATAAGAAAATTTTGAATATCAGATAAGAATTCGCGAAATCTCTAAGAATACTGAAAATAAACTATTTTATCATTAAATCAATTTGATCATTTGATTAAAAAATTTTTAATCTAATTAGAAGAAAAAAAATCGCGTATCAATCATTTGCATGCATTTCTTCATAAAGTAATAAATTTTAATTGTAATCATTTGTTCACAACCAATCGTATTCGGTTCAAGTCATAAAATTTATTGACTTAGAAATATAGCGAAAATGACAACAATTCTTCAGAACTTTCCATTCAAATTTTTTTATTTTAATTTTTTTTATTTTAGCTTGTTCAATGATTGTTATCAGATTTTGTTAGTAAAGAGATAATTTTCTTTAGAATATCAGTAAATAAATATAAAATGATAAAGAAATTTAACACATTTAATATGATATATACATAGATATTTGAAGAATTACGCTTCTTTCCTGTTGAAAATTTCCATTAAAATCGTGCGAAAGTTTAATTAGACGTTATATAATTAATCTTGAATAATAATCTTCAGCGAACTACTTAAAACAATTAAATTTCATGCATTCAATTTCATATAATATAATATAATACAATTAATGTCTACACTTAGTATTATATAATATTAATATATTCATAGAACAATAAAATAAATTAACTAATAAATTCATAGAATTTTAAAAGTTTCTAAAGGCTGAAACAAAAAATTTATATATAAAAAATCTATTAAAACTTATATATTAAATTATTATAATTATAACCAATTTAAATTAAATAAAGCAAAGTGAAAACAAAGCAACATAATAATATGACAAAGATAAAGCTCTTTCATTCTACCCCCGTTTCACTTCATTTAATGCAAATTTTAATTGATTATATTTATTATACTTATATTATATTAATTATATAAATAAAATATTTATATTATATAAATTACATTTTATATCAAATTTTGCGTTTGTTTTGGCTTTTAAAATTAACTCTTCAAATGTATCTTACGAATATATTAATATCTTATATCAATATTATTCAGTATGCTGTTTTGCATTGTTACCCACAGATTATGAAATTAGCTTCAGATCTTGGGCCTATTACATGATTTATAAGCGTAGATATTCTGTTATTCATCTCTCTGTCCTTTATTAAATAGAACTATATTATACTATTTTTCTTAAACAATATATATACGAAGATGCACATGTACATCCTATTAGAAAGAACAAGAAAAAAATATAAGAAGATCAACTCTGGATTTTTATTTAGTAATTTGAAATTCTATATCCATATTAAAAGTGCTTATCTAATTTTTTATTGCTTTACTCCTATTATCTTTTACATTAACATCAATGTGTATTCATTATTAGTACATTTATTAAATATCAATCGATTGAATGATCATATGATTCCATATATATTTTAGAGGCGGCTAGAGTACTCGAATTCCAGCATATTAGTGAGAAAAATGCAATTGTGGAAGAAGAGAAGTTAAAACAACTAGGCAATCTGATGTCTAATAGCCATTTTAGTATGCACAAACTATACGAGTGCAGTCATCCCAGTGTCAATTCACTCGTTGATAAAGCTATGGCTTGCGGTGCACTCGGTGCAAGACTCACGGGAGCTGGGTAAGTGAAACTCGGGACTTGGATAACAGTCATATCATATTGTCCACCATTGTAAATTAAATTTACATGTAGAATACATAGAAGAATAAATGTAATATATATCTTATATCTATTCGTGACAGATGATCAAAGGGAATGAAAATGAAATTGAAAAAAATATCTCGAAATTTCGTGTTCTTCAATTTAAGAATGCGCATTTAAATAGAAATAGATTCTATCATCTTACTGATATATTTATTATATGTATGTATATATGATCATATAAAATAAAATGATATATAAAATAGATTGAAAATTAGATGAATAATTATAAAAAAAATTATGAATCTGCAGATTATTTATTAAAAAATATTTCTGTCTTTTTGATCATTTTGAAACTGATACTTTCCAAATCATAATCAACTCTATTCTTAATATATTTCTTTTGTTAAATTTCTGATACATTTTAATCACTCTTTTTTTATAAAGTCAAAATTTTATTCATCATAATTGTTATACTTTTTCAATGGAAATAAAAATACCAAGTAATTAAAAATATAATAAATAATTTAATAAGAAAAAATGGGTCTAAATCTTTAAATTCTATTCGAAAAGATTAATTGTTTCACGATGAAAATTCAATGAATTTTATTGCATTTTAAATGATTTCAAAAGTAGATTACTTCTTTACTCAGAATGAAAAAAAACTCTTTTTCATGCATATTTTACATCAAATGTTTTTTTCAATATTTTTTTCAGTATCTCTATTTAAAGAAAAGAAAAAAAATTGTAACGACTTCTCTGAAAAGTAGATCGATCCATGGGTGTGTTTCGAATTGCCAGTGTTTATCGAAGAAATTATTTTTATAACACGATAGCATGCAACTCAAGCAAGAGCTAATATAACATTATGGAAACTCTAATGTTAATGAAAATGTTTCCAATATATAAAATCATTCATTATTGAAAACGTCACAGCTGTTAATGTTTCATGTGATTATAATATTGCAATTTCATATTTAGCGTCAGTTTCATCGAATATACTTCACAATACATGACAAAATTAATGAAATGATATATTCGTGCGATTTCATTTTACATAGATGGGGTGGCTGCATAGTGGCCATCATAACGAAAGACAAGGTTTCTCAATTTGTGGATACACTGAAAAAGGAGCTCGGTCTATGTGGGATAAAGGATGGATTCAAGCTCGACGATCTGGTTTTTCCAACGGAACCGAACCAGGGTGCTGCAATTTATATGATCTAGTTTTCATTCTCCATCTATTTCCTGCCTTCTTCTTGCATTTTATAAATTCGAGCAATTAATTTATCAAAAGGTTTCTTAATTATCTATACGTAATAATGACAATACATGTGATTATATATGTATATATATATAAGAAATGAAATTTGAAATCATTTCTAATAAAGAGGCTATTCGATTAATTTATCTGTAAGTGTTAAACGTAAGTTTTAGAATTTTTCTACAATTACACAAACTATGTAATAAAATTATTCAAAATATTTTTTTTCTATTCAAATGTATTTTTTATATGAGCACTTGCTATTTGTATTATAATTTATGATATACTTTTCATTGACTAATGATATTATATATTAATTTATGTAATGCAATCACATTTTTATGATAAATATATAATATCATGCTATTTTGTAAGTTTAAAAACTTTAAAAAGTAACATGATAAATATGATAAAATAAAACGAATATTGTTCGAATGTCTTCTTAAAGAATAAATCCAATTTTCTTATAATTTAAAAATAGATTTTAAAATAATATATTTCTTTTTGTAGCATTTTATATTTTTTTTTCTAGTTCCTTATAATGAAATGCATTTGAAATGATAACGTAAGAAAAGATATGAATGAGAGAAAAAATTAAAAATTTGATAGGCTTCTATAAAAGTTTCTCTATTTTTAAAAACTCGCTAGTTGAGAGATTAGATAATCATTAACAATCAACATTGAAATTACATAGCAAATGGGAAATCTAGTCAGCAGTTTCTGGAACATTATCAAAGTTTATTTCGAAGGGATAAAGGGGTGAATAAATGGAATTTGTCAGGGAAAATTTCCATTCGACCTAGATCCGTTTAAGGGATTTCTTATGTATGTGATTTTGAGGATTCTATCATTGACATGGAAATAACAAGAAAAGAGCATTGAGCAAAGAAATCATGCGTAAATAATTGCGAATTCATTCAAATTTCTTCATGGCACATGGTTTGTCTTAAAAATAAAAAATATCTTATTAACATAATTTATTAAACTTAAAAATTTATAAAGTCAATTTAAAAATATTCTTCATTAAATAATATTTAAATATTTTATGGAATATTTAATGATTTATAAAATGATTTTTTCCTTTCTAGATGGAATAATTTTCAAGATATTTAAGAATATAAAAAGATCAAAATTGAAAAAATATATATTCGCATAAGAACATTTTTCATGGGTTAGGTCAGCGTACTCGACAGTCTAAGATCCGACATTGATATTGATTTTCTACTACCAGTCTATGCTAATAAATTTCTCGATAAGAGAAAGAACAACCAGCCACCGAAAAACTTGTTTCACCTTTGGAATCGGTTGCTTCATTGATTTAATCTGCTACCATATCGAATGAAAGATCAAGTTTAATTTAAGATTGATTTGTGTTTTTTTCTTTCGCGAAATTCTAGAATATTATTTAATTTTTATTTTATTTTATTTAACTTTTTACATTTAGCTTTATTAACTTTTAAATTTAGCTTTATTAACTTTTTAATTTAATATAAGAATATGTCTCAAACATAATTCAGAATTTTAGAGAGTCAAATTATATTTAACTTTTAACTTATCAAATTCTCTTCATTACTTTAATATGTTGCTTTTGCAATCAAGCGTGAAATAACTCATGAATTTCACATTAAACAGCAACGGTCGTAAAATATTTCAAATAACTAGCTTAAATTTTAATGTATAATATATATATATATGTGCAACAACATTTTTATGAACAAAGTCCAGATATTCTAGATTTCAAAGATCCAGGATATAATTTTAAAACTTTGTTATATAAAATCTATTTTTATTATAAGCTGACTTATCACACTCTTTTAATTTTGTTTTAATATAAATTTAATAAGAAATTTCTATTGTTTCAATTTCCATTGTTAAATACATTTAATTTTCTTGCCGGTAGTATATCTTCCATGGAACAAAATGAAATTTGTTTTAGTTTGACATCGTTTTGAAATAAGGCAATGACGATACACTTTGTTCTCGGATCTAGAACTTCCTGGTGGACGAACATCAGCTTAGGCAAGGAAATTTCTCAAGTCCTGTAAACTGTGGTGAACCATGTGAAACAAGTTACATATAAACAGAGAGGGTAAAATTGGTAAGTCAAGAAAATACGTGATGTCAAAAGTTTAAATTCCTGAGAAATCCTAAAATTTATTTATGCTGCAGTTATATGACCAATTTACCAATGAACATCTTTCTCCTCTCGTTATAATAGTCTTCACGAGATAATGATATTTTATTATATATTTTATATATTTTATTTTCTATTATATATTTTTTATATTATTTTATTAACAGATAAATATTCCTAATTATAATTTCAAATCCTGATTTATTCAAGTGTCAATTTGCTTACTAAGATGTTCAAGTATATAAATTTTAATGGTTGAATTCTGAATATTTTGATTTATTTATTCATTTACTGTTTACTATTAAGAGATTAAAAAATAATGTACTTCTGATAGTAAGTATATATATATATACATGCAAATCAGTAAAGATTATATATATGTGTTTGAATTTAAATTTGCTTGAATAGTATCTAATCTGAATCAATAGTGATAAATAATTTGTTACTATATAAGTTTCATTTTGAATAACATCTTCCTAGGATGCACTCCCTACTGTGATGAAATTGCGAGCTTGAAAAATTTCTACATTCCAGAAAAACAATTCTTCCACAAGAGCATTCTTGAGTTAATTTTTGTAATGGAAAACTTCTTATGGAAAAAAAAAGAATCGTTGCAATGAAGAATAGATGAAAAAATATGTTTAGTAATCTTGTTATATTTTATTTTAAACATCTTTAAAACAAATTTTTGCTTTAGTTATTTTATTATTACTACATTCATAAAATAAAAATATAAAAATAATATAAAAAATAAAAAGTAAAATAAATATAAAAAATAAAAAGATACCAATATATTATTAAATTAAAATCAATATTCATATTTTCAGTTTTGCATTTTATAATTATTGAAATTATATATTAAAACCTTCGAAAAATACATTAGTTTATTTTAAAAGATTTGTCAAGATTGGAAATGTAAATACTTGAAATGAAACGATTAAAAATTGTTCAATTTATAAATATTATATTCATTCCATAATCTGAATAAGAAGGCTTATTTATCCCATATAAATGACATATTAGAATAATATCTACTCCATAGCAAGGGAGAGAATTTGATCAGACTCTTTCATATTACACATATAGCGTAAAATTCGCCCAGCGTACAAATGTCAATCAAAATGAAAGTATTTATTTTTGAAAATATTAATCGCTCTAATTATTATTCCACTTTTGATTATTTTATCTTTAAAAGATAAAATTGTCAATCTTGATATAATTAGAGAGTAATTTAACATGAATTTTTAAATATTCATCAATAAATGGAACTGAAGATATAATTTTAATTAATGAATACTTCATTTTGAATTGTATGAATTTTCAATAAAGAAAATTGAACAAAATATATCTTTATAAAAAAAACATATGAACAGTTTTCAACCTTATTTTCTTTTTCGAAATAATGAAACGCATTTATGTTAAAATGAAATAAATACTGTACTATAAAAGATTATATTTTATATGTTTTTTTTTATATTTTTTGTTTTACTTTCCAAAAGACTCAACAAATAAAAGCGCAAAATTTAATAAATATCTAAATATCTAATTGCATAGCAATAATTCTGCATATTTTATTTCTAAAATTCAGGAAATTATTATATTTACTCATATCTAATAATGCTTGATAACACGAAATTTTATTAATATAAATTCTTTAATGTATATTTAAAATTAGTATTTAATACAATGAAACACATCAAGTATAAAATCTTCAATTTTCGCTTGTGCTACTTCCATTATCACAATTTATAGCATGTTTATACGTCTATGCAATGGAAAACACTATTACCTATAATAAGATATTCTTTGGGAAATAAATTCTCCTTCACGTCAATGCAATAAATTTTGTAAAACAGATTTTGTTGTCCACAGATATTCTAATTTATACCGAGGAATTTTTAGAACATTTTTTATCTACTGTAATTAAATGAAGAAATAAACGTAGTACAGGATATTACGAATTCTGTTATAAATGGTAGACGATCCAGAATATTAGCTGTTGTTAGTTATTTTAAATGGAATCATCAGTTAAATATGAGCATCATAATCTAGATATCACTTTGCATGAAAACTTTACGACTTAAGCATAAAATTGTGATTGTCGTCCATAATAAGATACGTAATTTTATCATGAATTTTAAAACAAAAATAAATTATAATATTAGAGTAGTAAGAATTATAAAAAATAGGATAAATTGTTTGTTACAGATTAATTTTTTAACCTGATCGAATTTACGATTGGAATAATTAAACATTTATAATATGCGAAATGGCGAAATCTATTAAATATACGTAAGATGAAATGCAGTTAAACTTCACAAATGAGATTATAATAAAATGAGGTTTCGCAAAACGATCGATCTCTCTTTTGCTTATATGCAAAATGACAACTTTCTCATGAAAATTTTTCAAAAAACAAATTTGCAAAAAATTTCTTCTTTTTCTTGTATGCAACTGGAAAAGAAGTATTATTTCGTTTCCGTTCCAATGATATTCGTTCATGGAAGTTTACAATTGTCGAAAGAAAAGATAATACTCTGTAACTCTGTACATATATTTGTTTGCGTTCATATATTTTAAAAGAAACTTCAAACATAGTCAATATATCATATGACTTACTCCAACTTTTTTGAAACAAGTTCAAGTATTTTACTTTCAAATTTTTTCTCTTATTTTATATTTTTTACATTTTTTTTCTCTTTCTAGTAATATTATAGATATTAAACTTTACATGTTTAAATTATTAACAAAAGTAAATCTCTGTCCATTCCAACAAACAATATTATAAACTCGGAAGGCGCCATTGTCGCAAAAATTATTAATCAAATTCATATCTCAAAAATTTTTTTCATTAATATTCAATTAATTTTTATGCATATTCTCAGGAGTAAAATCTTATTTTTTTTTTTTTAAATATAACTGTGTTTTCATTATGATAATTCTATATATATATCAACATGTCATTTAGTTGAAAAAATACAAATTGGTCAAAAATATCGAATACGCATGCGCAAATAGTGTTTTCGCGCCGTGAACATCGTAAAGGCCGGCAGTTAGAATCGAACCTCTGCACGTGTCGGTTATCCTTTTATCATTTTATAATAGAAAAAAAAAGTTTTGGTGTCGAGATGTTTTGTCTGTTTTGTATTTCAATATTTCTATACAACATGAATTATGTATTGTGTAGTTGATGTTGATTCACGGAATAATTTTTAATCGAACGTGCATAATACATATGATCGCTCACGCGTTTGAAGCATGGCTATCATGCAATCCTGTTGCTGTTGGCGGTCTGTAAGAAGAGGTAGCTTTGCTTGTGCTATTTATGTTGGGGTAAGTGCTATCATTATTTTTCTCTATTCGATATATATTTCAATAGTTTTTCCATTAACAAATGTATTTTTTTGTGATATTATATAGATATTTAATGAATATATGATATGTATTATAAAATACCATACAATAAAAGAATAATATTTTGATTTAAAATGTCGGTGTTCTATCGACTGAAAAAGCAATCGAAATATAAATATTTATCGAAAAGAAATAACACGTATACGCGATAAAAATATACATTTTACCAATGTGTCATACACAATATTAAAAAAATATAAACGTATAAATAGGATATATTGACAAACATAGCAGTGTTTTAAAATTTTAATCCTTTTTTTTACTGTAGTAAAATAAAGTATTTCTTTGCAATAGGGACACAACAAATTATTTAATTAATACAATTTATTGCTTTTTGCTATATACAATATTTTATATAACTTATAAAATTAAAAAAATTAGAAAACGAACTTCAAAAATATTTATGAAATTATGAAATGAATTTTTTAAATAAAAGTATCGCGTTAAATGAATAATGTATTTAATTACTTATTTTTGTCCAATGATTTAAACATAAATTCTTTTAATTGATCTAAGTTCTATGCTATTAAACAGATGTATATTTATTTTATTGAAATATAGAATATTATTTTATATTATGAAAATTTACCAAAGAAAAAGTAGTTACTTAGTTCCAAGGAAAGAAACTTAGCTTTCTTTAAAAGAAACTGAATAAAAATAACAAAATTGCGAAATCTTTCTTATTTTACTGTTTGCAAAAAAAAATAGAATATAAATAAAAAATAATCATGAACAATAATTATATATATATATATATAGATTATATAGATTATAAATATAGAAGTCACTAATATAACATTCATTTGATAGTTAGTAATAAAAAATTTATTAAATCTTGTCAAACTTTTGTATTACTTGAATGAAAACATGTAAATATGCAATGATAAAACGAGCAAGATTTTCATTGTGCAGATTTTATGATATTTACTTTTTCTTTTTAATTTTAACTGTTATAAATCATATCACAACAATAAAAAATCTTATAATAAAAAAATTTATGCATCATCGAAATTAATTCATCAGAATTTTATTGCTTAGGCAGGATTGTATACAACTATAAATAAGTGTATTGTCATGAAATGCATTATGTATTTGTAGACATATATCCATGTAGACATATATTCTCGTAAAGAATATTTGTTTTTGTTATTACCTGATCGTTAAATGGCTTATGAATCATCTTTTAACTTTGCAAATATGAAGTTATTTGCATTAATATTCGGATGTTTCCTGAATTTGTTACTTTATAAACAGGATTATTTAAATATCGCGTCTCTTATGATATAAAGCCGATTATTG